GAAGAGCTGCATGGAGGGCCAAACTCCAACCGTGGCACACCTACCCTCGGAGGAAGAACTGTTGTCAGAGGAGGATGGCAAATACCCTGTCCCCTCTACACCAGGGGTATGATGGGTTATAGATTGTGTGGTGACTCAATGAAGGGGGGCACAATAGATCGCAGTGATTAACCCCCCCTCTTACTCATTTTACATTCTACATCGGCGTAACGACCTTGAATCGATTCCCAGTAATTCTATTGGCTGAAAAATTCATCTGTCAATTTCATCTGTCAAAAATTTCATCCAATAGAATTACTGGAAATCGATTCAAGGTCGTTACGCCGATACGCCGCGCCGTTCCCCTTTTTCCAGGATGATGTGGATGCACCCTAATTCACGAATGGTGATTATACAACGTTAACATTATTTACGCCAGATATTTTTATTTTTAGAAAAGGTTTACAGGGAACTCATAAATGTCTTATGCTGAGGCAACTTTCGATTAGTTTCGATTATATGTTGTAATCAGGTTATAACAAAGTTTACAGAACATATATTTCTGTAAACTTTGGTTTTAACCAATAACACAATTTAAAGTCTGTCTAGTGGGACGATTTTGATGTAATTGAATCTACTCTTGAGCGAGGGGTGTCTCACTCGGATACAAAATGTACACGTACTGCCAAAATATCCTTCCACTGCTAAGCGACTGCCAATGACTATGAAGAAGACTGCCTATGACTGCCATGTAATTATTATAGGCGACTGCCATAAGATTGCCAATGACTGCCAGCGACTGCCAAGAAAATGTACATGTAATTCCAATAGTGAGACACCCCTCGCACTTGAGTTAAAAAAATGTATTTTGTTTTAATTTAGACTAAGTATTTTAAATTCACGTCATCATAATTTTCAGCTTATTCAACCATTTCCAATTATGGTATAGCCTTCCTCACATATTTAGATACTCTCTTATTTGTAGTTGGGCTCATTGTTGGCTATGCGGGCCTAAGTTATCCCTGCTAATTTCCTAATACCATGGTCCAATCTCAGGTTTGGTCTTCTTCTAGGTCTCTTAATTCCTCGTCGGTACCATGCTGTAATTTCCGTGGTCCATCTGTTGTCCGTCCATCTGTTGTCCGTCCTTCTTGCCAGGTCTCCTGCCCATTGCCACTCGAGGGATTTGATTCACTTTTACATATTTTCTTTTAATCAAAATATTTTAAAACCAAAAATAAATTAATTATAAATATATAAACAGTTGATATTTACATCAACAAAACTCACGTCCTTAACAGTACTTAAGGGACATAAAGAGCTTTTCCCGGTCAAAATATTCTAATAAGGTTGCGATGAGTTTTTTGCAACGGCTATTAAGCTATCTTGTACTAAAAGAGGTTCTAAAAAGAATAATGTTCGACTACAAGGTCTGCTAGTAATATTTTTTAAGCTGAAAGTATCAGAACACAATTCATTTAAATGAAAAACTCGTTAAACAAAAAATACAAAACTAAATCGTCAAAGCGAATGACGATGTCACTAAATATATAAATAAATATTAATTAAAAAGACAATTCAGTTTGTTATGTTATATGTTATAGATATTGGTTATAATTTAGAGTAAGTATTCTAAATTCACACATATGCCACTTTATTATTTGTCTTTATTAAGTGATTCATCGTTTTAATAAACTCGTTAAAATATATTAATGTATTCAAATTAACGTTGTAATACTAGAGCTGGCATTTCTGGTCTTGGGTGCCGATTTTCGTGTGTACGAAGTGTACTGTCAACACGCTTAGCAAAATTCAATGTACTGAATAAAGACAGAAGGAAAGTATTTTCCCAAGCGCATGGAATCTAGCGTCAGATTAAGTGGTTATGTAAGAAATACTTCGTATTTTTGCTCTCTCCGACTTACTAGATTGCCATAGCGATTCACTCCTATATATGTAAACGCCGACCCAAAGTTTCGCTTGCCAGCAGGGTATGAATTGGCCGAAATTGTTTATTGTCACAGAAAATATAATGGGCTCCTTGCATGCATGGGGATAGAAGTCAATTTTTACAAATTCCATCTGGAAAGTACAGTAGAATCGAAAAAAAACGGCGTCAAAGGCGGCTGTGGAATAAGGTCATTGTTATTAAAATTAATGTAAAAAATTAACACTAATTGTAGAAAAATTAAAAAAAGGATAGAAGGTTTACGACACAAATCTATTTCCAAAAAAATATTTTCTTCGAATTTTAATCTTCACTATTTAAGAATCACTTTTACTCAATATAAAAATAAATTACAACCTTCTTAAGGCCAACTGGCAATAAGCGCTATTTAAAACTAAAGAAAAGTACGGGTAAAAATATATATACAAGGGTACGGGCCAAGTAGATGACATCCAGGCCTTGACCTCACATAAATTATCAGCGATTGTCATTCCCCAGTTTTCTTTGACGCCGTTTTTTTTTATCGCATATGGTTTTAAATCATTTATAACGATAACACTCTCTAAGCCACATACCAGCCTCATAGTAGACTTTTACTATCCTAGCATGTGACTCAATCTCCGCTAGCGGCGCTGGTTTACCCAGCAGGTAAATCCAGATTTATCCAAAGGGCTTTCTGTAACGTCACGGAGACAAAAACGCGGATGGTGTTTTCTATTTAAATTATGATGTCATTTCATTCAAAAATATATAAAATAGCCCATTCACCAAGCAAAATATGTAGTTGTTTTCTAAATCTCTTGTAGATAAAAATAAAGTTACAATAAAATGGTAAATGACTTCACAACCAGTCTATTCATTGGTACCAAAGTTGGTACCAGACAGTCTTATACAGGGTGTCCCAGGCTGAGCGTGCATTAGAAGTTTCTAGAGAACTAAAACATCTAGCTCGGAGATTTTTTCCATATCATTGTATACTGAAAATACTGTCAAAACTATTGATACTAAAAATACTGTCAATATGGCGGCACTTCCGGCAATACCGGAAATTGACAACAACTTTCTGATTTTAAATGGGTGTCCCCCATAGATTTGTGTCCCTATTTTTTATTGCATATTTAAATTCTCTGTAAAATTTTATAAATTCGATATGTAACAATATCAAGTTACGGATTCCGTGGGTCCACTAATTTAAAGTCACGATTAAATACCTAACGAATTTATTTTCTCACTATATACACACAATTTATACTGATTAACAACAAACAATTAACTATTTAAAAAAAAATCCTTCACTAAATTGTCACGATTCACAATTTAAAACGGTATATTTTCAAACTGGCTGAACCGCCGATCGCGCGCCTTTATATACTCTACTGACTGTTTCTAGAACCTTCTAAAATTCTCGGTATCTTTCTGCCTCCTACTAGTAAATTCTGCCACCTGATTGGCTTACTTTTCTACTTGATTAAGAGATGGCGCCTCAACAACAATATCCTCAGATAGTCCCCAACCAGCAATACACTTGCGGTTTATTCACTTCTCCGACAGATGTCGCCACATACACCTTGACAATATTAAACACTCTATATCTAACATTAACGGATTTCGAGAAAAAAAATATTTAAAATTTTTGGACGAAAAGAAATGTCTGTCAAAAATATGTGTATAGTCTAAACGTCAAATTTAGTGATTACCACAGCCACTGTGCTATAAAGAGAAGACTCATGTGGCTATCTATTTCAAAAATTAAATTGTTCGAATATCATACTATAATAATGGTCGCAGCTGTCATGCAATTGACCGATTAAAAAATTATTATAAATATTTTTTTTTCAAATGGAAACCCACTTTTTTTATTTCACTAGTAAAAAGGCTTTCAAATTCGTTACTTTTTGACTATACGACATGTTCCTATACCTAAAATAAATCGTTTTTAAGTTATTTAAGATTTAGTTTTAAAGCGTATATTTTTCTTGATTTTAAAGTGTAGCCCATGATTTTAAACGTCAAGTGATGTAAAACAATAGATCTGGCCATGTCATATTGTGACACTTTGTTCAAACAGCAGTATGTTATCGATCGTCATTTCAAAGCCAACGTTGTGCTGATTTTTTTTTCGATCATACGGTATATTATTAATATAATTAATAATATCAACTGTTAGATATCACTAAAGAGCGAAAATACGAGATATATTTTTATAAATACACTTTTTAAACTCTTAAGGCAGGCAGTATTTATAATATAGGAAATTCAAATAATTCGTTTTCTGACAGATGGAAATAAATTTTCTGACTGTTTGACACTTGACAATGGACACTTGTCAAAGGAGGCTAGATAAAATCAAGAAAAGTATATGTTTTCAAACTAAATCTTAAATAAATTAAAAACGATTTATTTTAGGTATAGGAACAGGTATAGTTAAAAAGTAACGAATTGACAAACCTTATCACTAGTGAAATAAAAAAGTGGGTTTCCATTTGAAAAAAATGATTTATTAATAATTTTTTAATCGCTCAATTCCATGACAGCTACCGCCATTATTATATGACATTGGAACAATTTAATTTTTGAAATAGATAGCTACATGTCTTCTCTTTTTGATACAGTAGCTGTGGTAATCACTAGATTTGACTTTTGGGCTATACACGTTTTTTTTGACAGGTGGTTTTTTTCGTCAAAATATTTTAAATATTTTTTTTCTTAAAAGCGGTCAATGTTAGGTATAGAGTGTTTAACATCAATATTCATAGAATTTTACGGAGAATTGAACTATGTAATTAAAAATGGGGGCACCAATTTAAAATAAGAAAGTTTGCTGTCAACTTCCGGTATTTCCGGAAGTTCCGCCATATTGAAAATATTTTTAATCAGTAGATCTCGTTGTAAAACAATGATTGGCAAAAAATCTCCTATCTAAATATTGTGGTTCTCTAGAAACTTCTAATGCACGGTCAGCCTGGGACACCCTGTATATCGAAATATGCGATAGTACCTAGATGTTCACTTGTCTCAATTAAATTTTAAATGAATTAAAAAATAGATTTAATTAGATTTTTAAATCTTTTAGGTAATGGACCAAGTGGTATAGCTATGTCGCTAATTCTGAGCGGAAAATTGCCATATCTTACCACCGACGAACATCCAGACGAGATGCTCAGTGCCAGACTGAAGAATGTCACTTCATCGTGTCTGATATCGCAGGATTTAGGACTTCTGGCTCAGGGATTGGAGGGAAGGTCTAGTAATCCTGTCTCGTTACTTATGGACGCCCTGCTACATCCCTATGCCGATTTGGGATTGGAAATGGAACCGTTGCTAGAATTTAGACAGATGGGAAAAGAGGTTAGTTAAAAATATCCCCAATTCATTATAAGCTTTTTTGTTATTTTAGTAAAATATTCACTTTGAATAAGAAGATTGGTAGGAAGAAGCATATCTATATTTTACTATAGGGTTGCCAACTTTCAAAATAAAAAATAGAGGACGAGAGGGTAAAAAGAGGTACAGGCGAAACATTTTTTGAAACCTGGCCCAAATGTCTAGTTTACCAAAAATGTATGCTAACGGTATGCGATTGATTGTCTTTCTTACTTTCTTAAAAATCTTTATACTCAAAACTTAAAATAAAACAAACCATTTTCAACAAAACTTTTTTTTAAATAAGCTAACAGCCTTGTATAATATAAACAAGGCTAACAGTAAATAAACATAAAATATTTATAAACATGTTTATCGCTTCCACAATTCTTCCACATTCTTCATTTTCTTTTCTGTACAAACGAGTGTGAGTAGCGAAAGACACAGATTAAAGAATTTTTAATGCATTGTGGCGATAGACTAATATTTTTTAGATTTTGAGTTTGGCGTGTAAAAACCGGACTTTTTCAATACGCGAGAGAAATGATGACAGTGAGATCAAAAAGATTACGGTTGGCAACCCTATTTTACAGTTGAGGGTTGGAACCTTTGGTGTTACACAGCAAAATAAAAACACTAAATCACACACTGGACGCGCGTTTCGCTAACCATGTTAGCATCATCAGCAGATGATTATAAACTAATTGTCTCAACTGTAATCTTCGATAGCTTCGGATGGTCAACGGAACTGAATCTTTATAATAAGTTTAGTACTAAGATTAGGTTATTAGGAGCAGGTTTCTTAAATCATGCAAAGCCAATTCAGTTTATCCTAGTTTTATTAAAGTTGATATTCCGAAAAGTAACGTTAGTGATAGTAGAGAAAATTGCAAAACAAAAATGGCTTGATTTAGAAATCAAATTTCTGTATAGTAAACGAAGTATGTTTGAAGTTGAAGCCTAGGGACTTTACAAAAAACTTACTTATAAGCTGTTGGTGTCTCTTTCAGAGAAATATGTTTGTGGTTATCAATTCAAAATTTGTTTTGAATAAAAATTAAAAAGCTCTAAAAACATACATGTTTTCCAAAGAGACATAAACATAGCAGAGAATCTTTCTTCGCAGACTTTTGATAAACAAGAGCTCAGTTTATTAAACAAAGGTTTAAAATTTGCATTGCCCAACTCTGGTAGCGCTTTGGAGGAAATCGTCGTTGGTGTTGAAACTGCTATTCAGCACTTGCCGGAGGCTTCTAAAGTATTTACAAGAGAGGCTTGTAGAAATCAGTTATTAAAAAATATCGTTTCAAGTAAATCATTAAAATCTAACAAGGAGCACAATATTGTCAAGAGTTTGCGTAACAAAGATTGTTTCTACCTAAAAGCTGATAAGGGAAATAAGGTTGTTATATTAGATAAAAAAGACTATTACGATAAGGTTAACAACTTAATCGATAATGGTCCCTACATAAATTTGAAAAAGAATCCTTTGTCTAAGATGGTAGCAGACGTTAAAAAACTCTAAAAGAATGTAACACCCTTATTAATCTTTCTTTAAAGAGAAAATTGCAAGTATCCAATCCCACATTACCAAAATTGTATGCGTTACCAAAAATTCATAAGCCGGATAAGTCTATGCGCCCAATTGTTTCGGCTGTAGGTTCTCCGACTTATAATTTGGCAAAATGGTTATCAAAGGAGTTCGAAAATTTAGCTGTTCACGAACCCTCTTTCTCAGTTAAAAATAATATTGAATTCATTAACAAAATTAAAGATATAACATTGCATGAAGGTGAAATTTTGGTCTCCTTTGATGTATCTTCGTTGTTCCCAAGTGTTCCAATTCCACATACTTTAGGCTACTTGAAGGAATTACTGAACGCAAATGGTCTCGACAACAAAACTGTGATTGAATATATTGAGCTTACATCGTTATGTATGAAACAAAATTGTTTTCAATTTAATAACAACTTTTTTGAACAGCGGGAAGGTACAGCAATGGGTAATCCATTGTCTCCATTTTTCGCTAATTTATTCATGAGCAGGTTTGAAGTGGAGGCTAAGAATCAGTTTGAGTATTTTCCAAGAGTATGCATTAGGTATGTGGATGATATATTTGCTGTTTTTGACACACATTCAGACACCATAGATAATTTTATTTTTAAGTTAAATAATCGTTTTCCTTCCATTAAGAGAATTTTCCTTCCATTAAGAGTTAGAGAAAACGTAGGTATAGGTTAATGATTTCTGAAAATTTGACTTTTCAAGTGGAGAAAGATATGTCAAAATATTTTTCAATACCGTTTGAGTTATCCCGTGGTCTAAAAGGAATTTTTAAGAATGTCAATTATAAACTTGTGTATAGTGCTAATAATAAATTACAACAATTATTAGGTAATCCAAAGGATAAAACACCTCCACTAGAAAGGTCGGGTATTTATGAAATTTCTTGTAAAGATTGTAATCAGAAATATGTTGGGCAAACTAGAAGATCAATATTAACTAGATTTAAAGAACATTTAGCTCAGATAAGATATGGTAGACCGGATAAATCTGGCGTTGCCGAACATATTGTTGATAAAGAACATTGTATAGATCTTAATAATTTAAAATTAATTAAACAAGTCTCAAATTACAGGCAATTAGATGCATATGAAAGCATCAGAATTAAAAATGTAAAGATAGTATGAACAGAGACAACGGTCCAATTCCTTCAAGTTCTTTGTTCCTACTACTCTAGTGGCGGAAATTTAACTGTTACGCTCGGTGGGCTCTGACTCAGTTGGCTAGATCTTGCCACGCCCACTCGGAGCCCACTGAGCGAGTATATAAACGCTCAACTTGTAGATTGTATTTTAGTTTATAATCATCTGCTGATGATGCTAACACGGTTAGCGAAACGCGCGTCCAGTGTAGAAGTAAAAGTGTTTTGGTGTAATGTGGTGATTTAGTGTTTTTATATTAACCCTATTTTTTACCTTGAAAACCTCGTAAGTACTCAAAACCTGTTTTCACTAGAGAGACAAACAACTTTTTCAAGTAGCGCAATAATCAAAATAATTCGACTTTTTTCTTATAATACTACAGATAATATAATTTTTGCCAAAAATTGAACTTTTTTTTGACCCCTGTTTCCCAAAAATTGAACTTACGAGGTTTTCAAAGTAAGGCATCGATATTAAAAAACTGTCTGTCACAAAACTGTCAATAAGAGACCTATGATGTTATCGATACCGTTTACCATACATGAATATAAAGTGCTTTTATTTTAACTGTGAACATAGGCGTCAATCATTGTAATTTCTTAATCACTCCCTTGTTGTCAGTCCATAACCAATCTGTTATCATCCATTAGTGAAATACCGACCGGTAATACTGTTTTTTCGCCGAAAAATTAATAAAGAAATAAAATTCGATTTTTTTTTCATCGAAATTTAGTATTTTTAGTGATTTAGAACTATTTTTAGCTAAATAAAAAAAATAATTTTTAAAACAAAAAATATTATTTGTTATGTGAGTATTGGTTGCACTCAAATCCAATGCATTGGCTGTTCCTATTTAAAAATGAACATACTTAGAAAAATAGCATTGCACTGTGTTAAGCCACAGCCCGCCTCTACTTAACAAGCCGTGAACAAGGAGATCTGACAACCCTGGTTTCAGATCGATCGATACACGTTTAGCCATATGATTTACGTTCATTGACCTGTTGCTCTGTGATGTTTTTGTAAATAAATCCGCTTTTTTGAAAGAAAATATTGTTTAGTTAAAAATTAAAGTTGTGAAAAGTCTTACTGTGTTAGATTTGTAAGTTACCCGAACAATTTTTCCGTAAACATTGCGTTAAAACAAATATCCGTGAGTGAAAAATTCGCAGGGATATAAGCGAGGTTAAGTGCTTTCTTCAAAGAATGGCGCCAAATTCGGCGGCAAATGAACATTTTGTGGTGTTTTTGAAAACAATTTATTGAAAGTTAGTTGTTGTAATCAAAAATTACCATGTCAAGTTCTTGTTGTGTGCCTGGGTGCAAATCCAATTATAAAACTTGTCTTGATGCAGGAGAACCAGCGGTATCTGTTCTTACCTTTTCAAAGGATGAAATTACCTTTTCAAAGGATGAAAATATTAAAGCCCAATGGCTTAGGAATATTCCTAGGGAGGCATGGTCACCCTAAAAATATTCTGTGGTTTGTACTAAGCATTTTGTGGAAAGTGACATTATTAGGGACGAGGATTATCGCTTGCCAGATGGATCAGTGCAAAATATACCTACTAAAACTAGACTAAAGTTAAATACAGTGCCTAGTATCTTTCCAAATTTGCCCCATTACTTATCAAAAACAGTCCCTGTTTCCCGAAAAAGTCCTGGTGAAAGAAAAAGTCCTGGTGAAAAAAAGAAATGCAAGATCAAAGTGAGCAATTTAAGCATTTCTTTGGTTCTTTCAGCAGGACTTTTTCGGGGAACAGGGACTGTTTTTGACAAGTAACGTGGCAATTTAATTTTAGTTTTCTGTGGCAAATTTGAGCAAACCTTAAATTAATTTAAAAATACGCGTCTCGATAGCCGGTATAACGGCCCGTCGCGCATTCGCGCTCACTCGAAACCGATCTGAATCTCTTGCCGGTTGCGGCGTTGCCAAATGGTTGTTCACTGCTTGTTAAGTAGAGTCGGGCTGTGGTTAAGCCCTATGTTCACAGTTAAAAATAAACACATAAAAGCACGGTATAAGTTCCTTAATACCGTATCGTATATATTCTGTGACCGCATGATCGAATAAAAATGGCGTCAGCGATGGCTATGAAATGAAGATCATTGCCATTTTATATGTAAAATTATATGGGAAATGTCATCGATCGTCATTCCCAAGCCAATTGGACGCCGTTTTTTTTTTCGATCATACGGTATTTTTATTCAAAGAGTATTCAGTATATTATTAAACTTAGTTTAATAATAAATATTAAATAATAATATTATTAAACTTAGTTTAATAATAAACTTACTGTTACTTGACAAAATGGCGGAGTATGTTTTAATCGAAAATAAGTAAACATTACCAATATTAAGTGAAGTTTTTTATTATTATTTCTAGTGTCAAAAATCTCTATTATGCTGATCCCATATCCTGATCGATTTAAACTAATAAAGATATATCAATAAACAATTAGCGATGTAATGGTTTTTGCGCGCGCTGGCCGACTGCCGCCGCGCCGCTGCGCCGAGATTTCCTATACCCTTGTATATATGACGTCATGGTGTGGCAAATGTAGCATTTTAATTCGATTTGGGCTCCCTTATATAGGATAACAGAAACATTTTCAATGTTAAAACATTTCAAAATAGACAATTTATTTAAAAAAAAACCGGAGGCAAAAGAGCTTTTTCGCACGAGCGAAAAACACCCTTACTTATATATTGATAAATAAAATATGTTTCTTTGTTATGGTCATTTTGTTTTTGTGGATTTGGGCTGATTGCCTGTTTTTCCCGGGCCGGTTTCCACTTCCCCATCCACCCCTGACCCTCAGGCAATAATAGAAGCTCTAGCGAAACAAGGTATTGATAGGCCTTATATAGAAACTCTCGCCAATATATACAAAGAACCCATAGCAAGAGTAATGATTTATAAAACAACCCCAGAGTTTCCAACTGGCAAAGGAGTGCGACAGGGCGACGCGATATCCCCAAAACTGTTTACAGCTACATTAGAAGAAATCTTCCGTCAACTGGATTGGACTAACAAAAGATTAAAAGAGATGGAGAATATCTTAACTCATCTAAGATTCGCTGATGACATAGTCCGAATTGCTAATAGTCCTGAAGAACTACAAGCACAAATTAATGAACTAGATACAGCCAGCTATAAAGTGGGTCTCAAAATTAATTTAGCAAAAACTAAAGTAGTAATGAACAACGAACTAGCGGAAAGAAAAAACGATGTACTTAAACAGCCGTTAAACGGTAGCCTACTAAAATGGCGTTAATAGATGTTGTGACGTCGTTCATGTCGGCAGAAAGTAATGCCTAGCCCTAAGGATTTTGCAAGAGCACCTGTGGGTCAGTGGCTGAGGCTATCACTTCGTAAACGAATGGTCCGTGGTTCAAATCTCACGCCGACTAAGACTTTTTTATATTTTTTTTTGCTTATAGCGTGATCTTATTGGATTGGTTTCACTCTTTTTGGTTGGATTGGTTTAGTTATTTGGCGGGTTGGTTAGCGTGGTTATTTGGAGGGTGTTAATTCATTGGTCTGTTGGTTATTTGGTGGGGTTGGTTGATTTTTACTAATTTATATTTGTTTTTTATATTATTTATCAGTGTCGAGGTTAGTTGCGTTGGTTAAGCTGGTTATTTGGTGGGGTGGATAGCGTTGGTTAGTCCTTATAAAATTCCTATATTTCATAAAGCCGTCAAGTGCGTCTCATCAACGACGTCATTTTAGTAAGCTACCGTTTAACGGCAGTTTAAGTACATCCAAGAAAAAAAAAACACTGGAAATAGTAGAAGAATATGTATATTTAGGACAACTAATATACAGGAATAGTAATACGAGGAATGAAACTCAATCATATTCAAATCTAAAATGCTACTCTATCTAAAGAAGAAAACATTTGACCATTGTGTACTACCAGTCATGACCTATTCATGCAAAATCTGGATACTTAAAATAGACATCATATGGTAACTGCAGGTTGCACTAAATTCAATGAAACGAAATATGCTGGGAATAACCAAGAGAGACCGTAAAAGAATAAAGTGGGTCGTATCCACTTTATTCTTTTACGGTCTAAAAAGACCCGTCCACAGAGTCAAATCCACACAAAAATGACAATGGGCAGGATACCTGGCAAGAAGAACGGATAACAGAATGATCACTAAAATTACATCAAGGTACCCACGAGGAATTAAGAGACCTAGAGGAAGACCGAACCTGAGATGGGACTATGATATTAGGAAATTGGCAGGGATAACTTGAGGCCGCATAGTGGAGTAGAAACTTTGGAGGCTTCCACGCTTCGAATGACTGAGGAGACCGAACAACAGTACCCTAACAGGGTTCCCTTCTTCAAGGATACAGAATAATAATTCGTGTTCATTACTCTCACCGGTACAGTCTTCTTCGCTCGTAGCAGGGCTCTTCCAACAGCGACCCCTCGTCCTATTTCGCTGTCATGGTTCCTTGGCTCCAACAGAATAATACTCCCATTATTCATTTTACTTTCCAGGCAACCATCCAAAAATATCTCACAGCACTCAGGGATCGAAACATCTTCTGCTGCCACCACGCGAACTGTCTCCTCACATTTTCGATGTAGAACCACTTCTTCTTCATTTATATTCAAAATTCCCTGTTTGAAGTTTAGTTCAAAACCTTTAGTGGTCATAATGTCCATTCCGAGAATAAGTTCATCTTCGATATCTGCTACTAACACTGGATGTTCAAAACTGGTGCTCCCAATAACAAAATTAAGATTTAGTTCTCCATGGACAGCAGCGGAGCCCCCCGTAGCAGTACGTAGTCGCCATTGTGTTGTTTTAACCTTCTTCGATGTTTTAAGAATGTCCGGTCTGATGATAGTTTTCGTCGCACCTGTATCCAACAGCATAGTCCGGAACTCTCCATCAACAAAACCATCCACAAAAATGCTGTTGAATTTGTGTTGTAGCGAGGCGACTTGAGCAGTTTTCGTTGGGGCATGTTGGGTACAGGTCGACGTGTGCCCCTTCATTTCGACCCTTAGTAGTTTTTGCGACCTCGACGAAACCGGTTCTTCGTTCTTCTCCTTACAACGGCTTCGCACGTGTCCTACCTGTCCGCAGTTCCAGCAACGAATCGGTCCCTTCTTGCCCATGTACTGGTCCATTTCAGTGGGACTCGATTCTTCTCGAACGAATGAATCATTGCGGTGTCTATGCGATGTTAAGGTCATCCGAGGGCGGGCCATATTGTGAGGTTTATTTAGCCCGCAACATTATGTTGTTATACGGAATGACTATTTTTTTTTTAGAAAAATATCAGTTCTCAGATTAATGTAATGCATTATAAGTGTGCATCCATACCATCCCAGAAAAAACGGGACAACGTATCGGCGTAACGCCCTTGAATCGATTTCCAGCAATTCTATTGGCTGACATTTTTCGACAATTATCCATCTGTCAAAAATTTCAGCCAGTAGCATTGCTGGAAATCGATACAAGGTCGTTACGCCGATACGCCGTTCCGCTTTTTCTAGGATGGTGTGGATCTTGTGTGGATGCACCCTAAGATTCTTTTATACTCGTAAATAAAAATTTTTAAAAAGGTTAGCTTAATAATACAATAACTTTCTTCTTTTAGGATTGCTCGTATTTTGAACAAATTTATTATACTCGTATATATTATAAATTAAACAAATATATCCATCATAGCCTGATACTCAATTCAAATTCAAATTCAAAAGTTTTTTATCCATACCCACTTCATAAGAACTCGCGGGGATATTAAATGTTGATAACAAATATCAAAGTAAAAAATACAGTAAATATTAGATGACGAATGACAGTCTTGTATACAACGTGTTCCAATATTCCGTGGACCTAGAACTATTACATATTTTTGGAATGAAAATAAGTCCATGGACACAATTTACCTCTATACAAAAGTGCTTCGTTTGTCCGCTAGAGGGCATCAAACTTTAAAAAAGCAGATATTTTAAAGAACCATTATTAGCCCGTTTTGAATGTGATTTTGCGCGTCTATGTTTTGCTAAGTGCTTTAACATTTGACATTTACAAAAATCAGGAAAAAGTTCGGAAAGGGTAAAAACTACCCCCACCCTTAAATAAATTTTACTATAAATATTTTCTAACTCAACCGACGATCGAATTTTTTTTGTAAAATGGTCTTTCTAATATTTACTACATTTTTTATCTCTTGTAAAAAAACGCCACCGCGCATACTTTTTGAGGATTTTTTTTTCCGAAGCTAACTTAACGATGTTTTTTCTCACATTAAGCTATGGAGGTCAAATGATATTTTGGCAGTACATGTACTTTTTTACCCAAATGAGATCCCCTCGATTTAGCTATAACAATCTGGTAACCCTAATGTAAGTACAATAGTGTCAACGATGTCGGGACGAATACCGGCGTCGATGTGAACACCGGTACATCGACTGAAAAACCGGTGTTCCTAAAACCGATGTTCCAATCTCAACACAGAACAGGTCTAGGTTACATGATAGCTAAGAACTATAGTAGTTTAATGACACTAGTTAGTATTCTACAAAATACTATTGGCTTTTTTGATCAGTGGCGCACTTAGAGATTGAATCTGGAGTAGTGGCAGTGTTTAAATTAAGTCTAGATTTAAGTTAAATTTTTGTTTTATAATATTTAAATGTATCGTGACTGTGGAAATTTATAAACTTGGATTGATCTTGATTTTCTGTTTTGTTTTGTATTATTAATTTCTTTTGTGACAATTTTATTTCAGACCACTTTTTATCTTATTTATAAATGTCTTCCTGGGAGGAGTAATTATCTCCATTACCCCTCCCGTATATGCGCCTCTACCTTTGATACATTAAATTTTTTAAAAATTATTTCATTTTTTTTTTAGATTGATCACCTGGTGTTAGGTCGAGGCCCTCCCGGCGGTTCCTGGCACACCATGGACCCCGATATCCTGACCCTTTCTCTCGGAAGTTGGATGGCCTTGCCAGGTATTCCTTTTCCCTCTTGCATCACCAACGAGAAACGGGCGTTTGCCCGTGACGTGGCAGCCTATTACGAGCGATACGTGGATGAAATGGACCTGAACCGCTACTTCAAAACCAACACGGTAGTTACTGGCGTCAGAAGCCTCATTAGTACGAAGCCTTCAAACGCTCCAACATCTAGCGCTTTCTGGAACCTCGTGGATAGAGTTAAGGTGCATATAGAGCCGGAAACCAGCATGGCAACTAGCCCTTGTTTCCTAACTAACGCTTTAAATTGTCTTCTCGTCCGTAGTAGCAACAGGAGGAACAGGCTTTGTAGGAGGTCGAAGAATATGCATCAGGATGCGTCGCTTAGAAAGTTGAACAACAAACCTGAGACCGTCATCATTCCCAAGCACGAGAAGAAGAGATCGAGGTCTTGTTGTTGTTACCAAAGCGAAACAGGACCGATTTCACGAAGCCCCGACTCATTTGCCCCCCAGAACGTGCCTTTATACAATAAGTTCAATTCCTGTGATTCCCCTAGAGAGCCCCGATGGATCGTGAAGAGCCTTGATGTGGAGACTGGTGAAACCACGACCTACAGCTGTAAATACGTTGTCCTAGCTTGTGGAGCGAATGACTCACCTAACAGGCTGGAGATTTTCAAGGGTCGGACAGACCCAGAATGCCTAGTGCACGATTTGAGAAGTTTGGAGTCGAAATTAGATGAAGCACTGAAGGCGACGAATATTCTGGACCCGGTGCTGATTGTAGGAGCTGGTTTGAGCGCCGCTGATGCTGTAATGGCTGTGCGACAAAGAAACGTGCCTGTTGTTCACGTTTTTAGAGGAAAATCAGCGGAATTCAACAAGCAGCTGCCTGAGAATATGTATCCAGAGTATCACAAGGTAAAATTATTTTTAAAAAACTGAAATCATCAAACATCAATATTTGGACTAAATAAACTTCGAACCTCATGTATTTTTAACTTCTAACCGCATGCATTTTTTAATTTATTTGCACCACGGTTTTAGACAGATGTCAGCCACGTCTATATCTGAAGTCATAGTCGGAAATAGTTTTTTTAAAACTCTGCATTTGCTGAATACACGTGCCAAATTTGAACAATTTTGGACAAGCCGATTTTCAGCAATTTACGAAAAACTGCATCCATTTTTAATTTGAAACTAAATAGGTAACAATGCAAAACCAGGTATATGGTAACGTACCTTAAGTTGTTATCCTATAATTTTGTCAATGTCAAATTGTAATTTCTAAACATTAGGCTTTTGCCTCATTCGAACCAGTTTTAAGTTACAAAAATACATTTCGGAGATACTAAGCCTAGGTATTATAACGTTGTAGTGTAGACAGCACAACAAATTACATTTGACAATGATAAACTTATAGGTTGACAACTTAAGGTATTGTCTGTCCAACGTCAAAATCCTTGACAGTGATGTGTCTGTCATTTTAGTTTCAAAGTAGTTTATTTTACTTTACAAAGAAATAAGTTGTGATGGGTGAATGGTGATTGGTACAATTGGAACGCATAATTAATATATTTAAATTTTGAGTGATAAGTGATTACTTCAAAATATTGTGAAAAAAACTATATAAAACTGAAAAAATCTAATCTTGGTTAATTAACTTTAATCTTATTTTTTTCTGCAACACTAAAATGTATTGTTTACCTATCGTGTGATGTTATTTTACAGATACTCCAGTTTTTGGTACCATATATTCGAGATGGTATACAACTTTATTTGTAGCTAATACAACTCTCTGGCCATAGTCTCTGGCAAACTGTGTCTCTGGCGGTGTGCACCGAATATTAACTGTAAATTTTGGTCTGGTCAACAATTAATTTTCCCTCGAGTTTTCCTCCACTTAATTTTAAAAAAACAGGAAACACAAGTAACAACACAGTCCAAAATGCAAAATATTTATCAGTTCTATTTGACATAATTTGACACAAAATTATAATCTATATGTAGATAATTTGGCAAGAGTTTGACAACTCTCAAAAATCTCCGTCCGTTTGTTGTTCATCGTTGCGTCAAACCAATAATATTGAAATATGATCTGTCATTTTTGAGATAAATCAATAAAACTGGTTAAAAACAACAACATCCATAGTTAACTTAAAAAATATTAGAAACTTTTTTTAGTGAAATAAATGGATTTGTATGGAAGTCATCTGCTTTTTTTCTGTCATCCTCTGTCAAAATCTTACCTGAGAGAAAAAAAAAACAGAGTATATGTTGCCATTTGGCTGATTTTGCATTGTTACCTGTTCAGTTTTAATGAAAAATAGATGCAGTTTTTCTTAAATTACTGAAAATCGGCTTGTCCAGAATTGTTCAAATTTGACATGTGTATTCAGCATAGGTAAACCTTAAAAAAAACGATTTAAGACTTGTAAATTAATAGAGTGATTAATAGAGTGATTAATAGAGAATTAATAGAGATTGTGTTTCCAACGACGCGACGATGCGCCACCCGGTATAGCTGTTATTTTATGGTTTTTACTAAATTAAATAAGTCCCGGTATAGAGTATTCCGTTCAAGAGTCTAGTACGTAATTAAGTTTATATCTGAATGTTTAGGTTGAACATATTTGGAGGTATTTTCTGCTCTAAAAATGGAGAACAGCAAATTTTGGTATTTAGATTCTAAATCCAGTCGTTTCGTACATAAAATAATTTAATTCTTAAAGTGAGACTTATTTTGTTTTTCATTTCTGAGTAATACTGCCTTCTTATCGGTCAAATATACTAAATTGTCGTCTGATTTTTGTTATTTATTTAGTTCAAATTTTTAAGAACAATGAAAATGATCTTCTAGATATATAGAATTAATCCGTATTATTTAGTTATCTGTGATATTATCTATATTTTTTTAAGATAGTTTAAAACAATATCCCTATCAAAATTTTGGAAAAATTATGCAAAGTTTAATTATATTTTGATTTTGTTATATTTGAATTTCTGTTATTCGATGTATGATGATATAAATATATTGATATTGGTTATATCAATATAATTATTCCAACTTCATTGCAAAAAAATGGCATAGGAGATACAAACAGAACTACTATAAATTTAAATTAGGATTGTTAATCAATGAGCATACTGGGAAGTAAATTAAAAAAAGCTAAATTATGAATGGTTTGGTAACCTTCTAACCCACGTCTTATTTTAAATTAAGCTGATATGTGAATAGATTCCAAACATAATGCACATATTTATATCTTTATATTCCAAATAAACAACTATTACTTAATTATTAATGCGTTGCTGTGATCGTGATAGAATGCACGTTTGTTTGAAGTTTATATAGCATTATTCACCATTTATTTGTATAAAAATGAATAACCTAAGTACCCGGTATCGCACAGCTATAACCTTACCTTGACCTTACCCAACGATCGAAAGTTATCTATCATTTAAATTGAAAGGTAAACTGTTTTTTGATAATTTTTGGAGATCTTCTATTAAAATCGGTCCTTCTCGGTTGGACAGATTTACAGCACATAGAATATACCGTATGATCGAAAAAAATGGCGTCCAGTTGGCTTGAAAATGACGATCGGTGATATTTCCCATATAATTTACATATAACATGACAGCGATCTTCATTTCATAGCTAGGGCTGACGCCGTTTTATTCGATCATAGAGCTATTGCGATACTATGTTACCGGTGCTAAAAGGTTAAATCCTCTTGGCAGTAGAATGTCAGTCTGTGTTTTTAACTGGATTTATTATTCCAAATATGAATGGCAATGAATGGCATTACGATTCTTTTTAGTGAATCGAATCACACGATTCAATTTCTCATATTGAATCGACACACCTACGATTCGTTCATTTGAACGAACAACATGCACAATTTACGTTTCATAAAAACAAGAATCGTAACTGGCACTACCGGCGATAACTTTTATTACTTATATTACTTCAGGGACCAGAAAAAGAAATATACAGTTCTTTCATTTGTTTTTCAACACTATGACACTGGCGTAATTGGATTGATTATTTTACCAATAATATTAAATTATCACTCCAATTTATATGTACTATTAATTAAATACTTCTTAATACGAATTTAATATTTTTAGAGCCATGTTTTAATTCTGATTTAATAATTATAATAAATAGTATATAATACAGCATGATCGAAAAAAATGGCGTCCAGTTGGCTTGGAAATGAACATCGAATTCCCCATATAATTTTACATATAAAATGACAGCGATCTTCATTTTATAGCCATCACCGACGCCGTTTTTTTATCACATTGAGCAGAGGTCAACAATATTTATTTGGAGCTGCTTAAAAACACGATTTCGTCTTTTAGTCAGACATTTATTAGTCGGTAATATTATTTTAACAAAAATATTAACCTAAAAATTAAATACCTTACAGATACCCCATACTAAGCACAGTATAAATATTTTTTGTTATTGTAAATAACATTCTTATCCTTTGAATTTTATGCCCATGATGTTTGTTTAGGGCTTTTGTTCAAGTCTAAATATTGGTACTTGACTCAATGCGTATATCACAGCCGCGCCGCGCCGTAGAAACGAACGATCGCATTGTGATCCGATTCAATTCTCACGATTCTTTTTTACGGCTCATCGTTTAAATCTTATGGATCCGTGCTGGCCACGATTCAATTGAACGAACCGTATTGTAAGCAATGAATCAATTCTCACGACTCTTTTAACGCACGATCGCATTGTGATCCGATTCAATTCTCACGATTCTTTTTACGGCCCATCGTTCAAATCTTATGGATCCGTGCTGGCCACTAATGAACCGTATTGAACGCAACGAGCCATTGAACGAACCGTATTGTAAGCAATCAACCAATTCTCATGACTCTTTGAACGCACGATCGCATTGTGATCCGATTCAATTCTCACGATTCTTTTTTACGGCCCATCGTTCAAATCTTATGGATCCGTGCTGGCCACGATTCAATTGAACGAACCGTATTGTAAGCAATGAATCAATTCTCACAACTCTTTGAACGCACGATCGCATTGTGATCCGATTCAATTCTCACGATTCTTTTTTACGGCCCATCGTTCAAATCTTATGGATCCGTGCTGGCCACGAACGAACCGTATTGAACGCAACAGCCATTGAACGAACCGTATTGTAAGCAATGAATCGAATCTCACGATTCATTTTTAATACTTGTTCAAATGAACGACTCGTTCAATCTTTGCCCACCTCTAATTCCAAATTATAATAGACAGTTGAAGCGTAGTGCTGCCCACAATATCTTCCTAATGTATCTGCGATAGATGTACACCCTGTATAGGATGTATCTTAAATAAATGCAAATATTTTAACTAGTATACCGGGTGCGTCCCAAAAGCGGCTCACCCCTACTTTTTTATTTTTTCAGATAAAAAAAATAGATTTGGTGTGTTAGTATATCACATAGATTAGGATTCATGACGTATTCAATTTGTTTTTGTACTACCGAAAATGACTACAAATTTTGATTTTTAAATGGTACCCTCGGTAAATTTATTTGTTAGAAAATGACAGTCTGAATAAAATATCAATCATATGTCAACTTTTGACATTTTCTCATATAGTAAATTTTTCCATACTATTAAAACTAATAATTTCAATATTGTGAAATAGAGAGATTAGAAGAGATGACTTCCCATCGAATAAATAATATCCTAATATTCGGATACGGGGATGACAGACAAAGAACCCAAAATGAAGTTGTTCATTTGCAGAGAAAAATATTCAGATTTTCTACCATTATCACAGGATACGAAAATTGGGCAAAATTGATCAGAAGTTTAGAGAAAATACTCATGAACAAAAACTAGAAAATATGCAAGGACTGCATTATGCGAATAAGATTAAATCTTTTTCTATCTCTATAATAAAGATGTAAATCACAAATCATTTTGAAAAAAACTTAAATTTTAAGTCTTAAGTCAGCTTTCGAAAAATGTCTTAAAATCATATGACTTAAAAGTCACTAAAATTTAATTTTTATCAAAAAATAGCTCTGACCCTGTATAAGCAATATTTAAAAAAAAATAATAAGTTAAATTACTCGGTTATTTTGAATTTACTTTCACAATGGTAAATAGGAAATATATATGGAAATATAATTTTTTATGCCCATATCTACTACCTAACGGGTACTTAATTCAATACTAAAACACCTATTTAAGAGATAACCTGTATGTAATTAATTATAATTATCACATTTAATATTTAATAATCTAATTTACTTATTTTAGGTACACCAAATGATGAACGACGGTGGGTCCACTTACCCCCTTTACCAAGCTTTCCCCGAACACTCTCTGACCGACTTCGAACCAGGATCCAACACTGTCAAACTTCTCTCTAAAACTGGTCAAGAGGTCAAGCTAAATATATCCTTCGCCGCAGTGTTAATTGGATCGAAGCCTAACCTCTCCTTTATGCAACCGGAAGATTTGAAATTGGGCATTTTCAAAGATAGAGATATAGACTCCAAGACCAACCCCATCAATATCAATTTGCTGACGTACGAAGTGGCCGGACACGAAGGGTTGTTTGCTATTGGACCGTTGGTGGGCGATAATTTCGTTCGATTTTTGACCGGTGGCGCAGTCGCTGTCGGATCGGAATTATACAAAAAGATGAACTTAATTTAAGTCCTTAATAAGTAAAAAATATGGTTTAGCAATGGTTAACGTAAAATTGCCCTTTTGCAGAATTTAATGGCCTCAGTCAATCGGTACTAGTCCACAAATTTTCGATTTTTTTTTAAATTCAAATAAATTTTAAGATTAACTTGAGCTGAGCGTTGTAATGTAGCGGTGTAGCGGTTTGTAACACAATAATACAAATTCGGCGAACGTCCGCCATTCCAGTCATATTTCTAGTAGACACAGTGGCCTTAATTGTGGTTAAACGTGCTTCTTTTAATTATGGCTGTGTAAGAAATATAATAAATAGCTAAAAAGTTTGAATAAACGTAGTACTTCTAATTTTTAGATCCGACATTTTTTAAAGGTTGAAAAAATACTGGAGCAAAGGGAGCCGAGGAGCATTGAAAACGGAATTTTCGCGTTTTGACTCCGAGCGAAACACTCGTCGCGAGCAGCGTATAAGCGTTACATTACAGCTCTCGGCAATAGAGGGAGATGGCCGATTCTGCGCCAGGAGCAAGGAACAGGAAGTGACGTCAGACGTAAATCAGCTACGAACATGTAAAATAGGCTAATAAATAACCAGGTTTAAACAGGAAATGACCGCTTTTGAACTGCTGTGAACCGCTTTGTAGCTTAAAACAACAGACCTGTTCATTTTTTGTTCAAACCCGTTTATTGTTGTTTTAAAGCGGTTGTTTCCTGTTTAAACCTGTTTATTCTTGTTTATTAGCCTATTTTACATGTTTTTAGCTGATTTACGTCTGACGTCACTTCCTGCTCCATGCTCCTGGCGCAGAATCGGTCATCTCCCTCAACTCTCGGTTCAAGTCAGTCCACTTTTAGTTACATTAAAACTTGAAAATAGTATAGCAAATATGGATAAAATGCTATAAATATAGATATCTCTCGTTTTGACATTTAACATCGTTTTTGGCTCAAACTAAAAGTATCTAGAAATCTAGACAGTATATATAAATGAGATCTCTGGTAGATGTTATTAAGAAAATGTTGATTCTTAACATTATACCGATTTGGTCATTGAAACTGCGCGGTCTGGATTTTAATGTGTAAGACAGTGATGTAGACAGCTTAATGGAAAATAAAATGTACCAAAAAGAGATAAAAATTGGGTCGATAAATTTCTTCTATGCGGTATTGCCGGATTTTGCATCAAAATTTCAAACCGCACAAGTAGTCGTTTATGAAAAAATTTGCATCTAGGGTTTAACTTTATTTTTCACTTTAGTTACTCATTTTACTACACCTGTAGTAGATTATATTTAGCTTAGATATATTATCTTCATTTCAATAGTATACATGAAAGTTTTTAAAATAGCTTATATACACAGTTTCCTAAAAACGTAAAAAACCGGCAACACTGTATGTCGCTTTTGATTTTGTCTCTTTGTCTGTCAACCCATCATTTATATTATGCTCTGTCACACGTATTAAAATCTTAAAATCCCTACCACATAGTTTAGATGACCAGCAGGGTATATGTTATTATTTTATTTATTTTATTATTTAATCTATTTTAAACTTTATTTATCTTTTATGCTTTCCTACCACTCTTTAGTAAATACATTTTAGCAACATTAAATAAATCTGTAGAAATTTAGATTGTTTGAATAATTAAATTTCAATCCAAAAAAGTCTTATCGGTATTCCGCCACTGTAAGTAAATCTACAAAATAAAATAGTTAATTTTTTGTAAACACTGCTGCGTTAATCCAACCGAGGCTAATTGTCAACAGTGTAATAACTATTTTATTTTGTAGATTTTCTCACAGTGGCGAAATACCCATAGGACTTTTTTGGAGAGATGAATCCGCCGCAGAGGTACATATGGTGGTGACAATTTCGATGCTCAACATTCCCAGAAACTACAAGAGATGCGAATTCGGTTAAATGGGACAAAAGTTGCGTAATTAGAAGTTTGGCAAACACCTAGGAATCCCGGTATCTTGATTAGTTTCGGATTTATGTCAAAAAAATGAAAATAATGCGTTTATTTTAAATGAGAATATCTTCAGGACTATTGTATCTATTGCAGCGTAAGTTGGTAGTTTTATATTTTTGACCGCGGCCAATTAAATGCCGTTTTCAGAAAATTTCTAAGCCTTCTAGATTTGGCACAACAGTCAAGTTTTTGTTTTCTTATGGCCGCCATTTTGAATTTTTATACTATTAGATAGAGCAAAAAATAATCTATACGGTGGTATCTAATTTTTATTCATTATTATGTAAATTCGCCAAAAAAAATAGATTTTTTAAAAATTCGCTCAAAAGATCAAGTCTGCCTTGGAAATCCAATTGACATTTTATATATGACAGTAAGTTAATTTTGGTTTACTCTATTAAGCATCAAATCTGGACACAAAAAATTATAGTAGATAGTATAAAGTGTATTAACAGTCAACAATATGTTCACAAGTGAGGAAACACGAGATATGTATGATGTTTACTTAAAAAATAATAGAAATTCCTGTATGGCATGCGCAAGTTATAGAACATTGTATCCTGAAAGGACACAGCCTCATCGTACTATTTTCGCTAGGATTTCAAGAAACTTAGCAGTTGCTGGTAGCTTTAAAAAACAAGAGGGCACTATTTTAAAAAAGCTTATGATATTAGTGTACCAGCTTAGATTGAAATAAATCCGGAAACTTTAGCCGTAAAATAAGTCGCAAGTATTGTGTAAGTGATTCTTATGTAGGGAAAATTATCAAAAAACATAAATATCGCAACTTTTAATTTAAATATGTACCAAGCTTACATTTTTTACATGCTGGTGATCACGAGAGAAGATTACAATTTTGTAAATGGTTTCGGGAAGGTGTTCAAGATAGCCCCCTTTTTTCTAGAAAAATATTAGGGACGGTTGAATCTTTATTTACAAATTCTGGTACATTTAACAGAAAAAAATCATATTATTGCGTAATTTATGTTTTTTTATTAAATTTTCCCTATATAAGAATCACTTACACAACACTGGCGACTTATTTACGGCTAAAGTTTCCGGATTTAATTCAATCTAAGCTGGTACATTAATATCATAAGCTTCTTTAAAATAGTGCCCTCTTGGTTTTTAAAGCTACCAGCGACTGCTAAATTTCTTGAAATCTTTAGCGAAATCTAGAAGGCTTAAAAATTTTCTGTAAACGGCATTTAATTGGCCGGGGTCAAAAATATAAAACTACCAACTTACGTTGCAATAGATACAATAGTTCTGAAGATATTCTCCTCGATATTCTCATTTAAAATAAACGCATTGTTTTCATTTTTTTACATAAATCCAAAACTAATCAAGATACCGGGGTTTTTTTCATAGGTGTTTGTCAAACTTCTAATTACGCAACTTTTGTCCCATTTAACCGATTTCGTATCTATCGTACTTTCTGAGATGCCAATGTTGAACATCGAAATTGTCACCACCCTGTGTACATTTTTTACAATTAAATTTATTAACCACCTAAATTTTATTTTAAAAAAATGGTAATTAACTTCTGATAATTTCGCATCAAGCATAAATGAATAATTAAAATTCTATTCAAAACTAAAGAAGTATTTTTAAGTTATTAATAATTAACGCCGATTGTCAGAGACCATTGAATAATCAAAGTTACTGAAAAATTAGCTGTTTATTTGTTTATTTTAGCTCTTATTTCTGGCGTTTAAACAAAAAGTTTAAACAAATTTTATATCTAATTTAGTTTAACTTTGTTGCTAATAAAATTGGGGTTATTTAAAAGTAATTTAAAACGCTTGAAAAATGCAAGAATAAGGTATTTTTATCTTCATATATCTTTTTTATTATATTTCATAATACTTATATTATTAATTCTTCTTAGAGCATACAGTATGATAAACAATATAATTAGACATTCGGGTAATGATTTTGGTGTGATTTTTTTTTAATTAAAAAACCTATAATAGGCCAGTCAGTTAAGACTTTTTAGAGGGATCACTTGAAAAAAAGTGTTGGAAAGCTAATTATTGATTTGATTGGTTCATTTGACGCGAGACAGAAGTTTCCTAGTTTACGATTTGATTGAAACTCGATTTTAGCCATACTATTAAACCAGTGGTGCCAACTCGTGGAAAATTTGGAAATTTCGAGATCAAGAGGGAATAGTGAAATTTTAACCCAAATCACCATATTCCTGGAAAATTCTAAATTCATTTATTATTCGTAAAAAATAGTTATCGTATACGCATTTATCAGCAAAGTGAGTAAATTCAAACTAGCATTACCGCAACTAAATACACATTTTCGGTTGGCAACAGACACTATTCTTGCACCCCCACTCCTTGAATACATGGTGAATCTAGGGATGGTATATTTTGATCCCAGGAACACGCCTATGATTTTTTTGCGCCAAAAAAATTGAAAAGTATATTTCGAAATTTGTTTGGAAATTTTTTAAAATTTTAGTTAAAAACATACTATTTATATTGTGTAGATAACACTATAATAACACTAAATTTCAGAAAGTTGGTAACACTGTACTGAACCGAATTAAATGAATATATACTCGTTCGACCGATAATTTAATTCTCTTTAATTTGCTTAACACTGAAATATTCGCTAGAACGCAACGTTTCGGAACTAGAGGCAAAAATCTTTTATGTCTCCTGAGTTAGGTTAGGACCGCCTTGACCGCCACTCGTCAAGCAACCGTGCAAACCGAGGAACTTCTCTTTTACATTAAATGAACCAATCAAATCAATTTTCAGCTTTCAAACACATTTTTCCAAGTGGCCACTCTAATTTTATTAGCCTATAAACAATTTATCAAATGACAATTTCGAATCATTTTTTGAATATGTGCGTTTAATTGTGTTGACTATTATATTGTGTATTTTAAGAAACATCGCATATACGATCAAAAAAGTCTTTTAGTTTTTAGTTTCTGTTTTTTTTTTATTTTGTGGTCAACATTTCCAGGACGACAAAATAATTTTAGATATATCTTCAGTTTGCTGCAAAAGTGGTTTTCACTTTTCTGTCGGCATTTTTTATGGGTTTTTGCAACAGACAGATAATAATATATTAAATTAATCACAGAATTACCTAACCATACAGAAGTGACATGGCAGATTTAAGTGAGCTTGTCATATGCTAAGTATCGTATGATCGAAAAAAATGGCATCTTTGCGGCCAACTAGAGGTTGGAAAATGACGATCAATGACATTTTCCATATAAATTTTCATATAAAATGACACCGATCTTCATTTCATAGCCATCGCTGACGCCGTTTTTTCCGATCATACGGTATAAATGTCATGACGTTCTCAAATTTTGATTAGTGGGGGTAGTAATATCAGGAGTTAACAATGTTAACTCATGTAAAAGCAATTATGTAAAAAAAACTCCTAGCTTTTATGTACTGAATCATGGATAGTAAAAAACTACTTTTTTAAATGCATTTTTTCTGATAATAGGTAACTATTGCAAAAACTTAATTTTAAGAATTAAAAAAAAGGAGAGACGCTTGAGACTAGTTAATATTTCTTCTTTAATAACCAATGATATAGGCATTATCTTTAAAGTCATAAAATTTGCGACATATTCTTCAAAGGAGCCGACGCTTACTGTCGCTTCTTTATAGGTGAGATTCTGTGATTTAGTTTTATTTTTTTAACATATTTAGACTTACTAACTCTTAAAATGAAAACTTGAATTTAATTACTTAACTTATACCGGGTACGTCTCAAAAGTGGCTCCCCCTATAATTTTTTTTATTTTTTCAGATAAAAAAACCAAATTTGGTATGTTATATATAACATAAATTAGGATTGATTGACGTATTCAATTGGATTTGGTCACTTCCTGTTTCACCGGAAATAATTACAACTTCTGCTAATACATTTTTAAAAGGCATCTTCGGTATTTTTTTTTTACTTTATTCGATAGAAAATGATATTCTGAATAGAATGACATA